CCCCCTGTGGTGTCGAGAAAGTGCCACGCCTGCTAGCCTTTGCGCCAGTGTCGTGGATAGCGGCCGAGCTGAGAGACCACCCCCTGCGCACCCCCTGTGGTGTCGAGAAAGTGCCACGCCTGCTAGGCTTTGCGCCAGTGTCGTGGATAGCGGCCGAGCTGAGAGACCACCCCCTGCGCACCCCCTGTGGTGTCGAGAAAGTGCCACGCCTGCTAGGCTTTGCGCCAGTGTCGTGGATAGCGGCCGAGCTGAGAGACCACCCCCTGCGCACCCCCGTGTTGTCGCGCCACGCCTACTTTTGCGAGAAAGTGCCACGCCTAGGCTTTGCGACAGTGTCGTGGATAGCGACCGAGCTGAGAGACCACCCCCTGCGCACCCCCTGTGGTGTCGAGAAAGTGCCACGCTTGCTAGGCTTTGCGCCAGTGTCGTGGATAGCGGCCGAGCTGAGAGACCACCCCCTGCGCACCCCCTGTGGTGTCGAGAAAGTGCCACGCCTGCTAGGCTTTGCGCCAGTGTCGTGGATAGCGGCCGAGCTGAGAGACCACCCCCTGCGCACCCCCTGTGGTGTCGAGAAAGTGCCACGCCTGCTAGGCTTTGCGCCAGTGTCGTGGATAGCGGCCGAGCTGAGAGACCACCCCCTGCGCACCCCGTGTGGTGTCGAGAAAGTGCCACGCCTGCTAGGCTTTGCGCCAGTGTCGTGGATAGCGGCCGAGCTGAGAGACCACCCCCTGCCCACCCCCTTTGGTGTCGAGAAAGTGCCACGCCTGCTAGGCTTTGCGCCAGTGTCGTGGATAGCGGCCGAGCTGAGAGACCACCCCCTGCGCACCCCCTGTGGTGTCGAGAAAGTGCCACGCCTGCTAGCCTTTGCGCCAGTGTCGTGGATAGGGCCGCGGTGAGAGACCACCCCCTGCGCACCCCCTGTGGTGTCGAGAAAGTGCCACGCCTGCTAGGCTTTGCGCCAGTGTCGTGGATAGCGGCCGAGCTGAGAGACCACCCCCTGCCCACCCCCTTTGGTGTCGAGAGAGTGCCACGCCTGCTAGGCTTTGCGCCAGTGTCGTGGATAGGGACCGCGGTGAGAGACCACCCCCTGCGCACCCCCTTTGGTGTCGAGAAAGTGCCACGCCTGCTAGGCTTTGCGCCAGTGTCGTGGATAGCGGCCGAGCTGAGAGACCACCCCCTGCCCACCCCCTTTGGTGTCGAGAGAGTGTGCTGTGCTGAGCTGAGCCGTGCTGGGCTGTGCTGAGCTGTGCTGAGCTGAGCCGAGCTGTGCTGTGCTGAGCTGAGCTGAGCTGTGCTGTGCTGAGGTGAGTTGAGCTGAGCTGAGCAGTGCTGTGACGAGGGGGGGAAGAGTGAAGTGTGTGTGTGTGAGTGAGGGGAGGAAGAAAGAGAGAGGAGGGGAGGTGTGAGGAGACGCGGGGTGCGGCGCGGCAGGGAAGAAAACCAGAACCCCGCGAAGCATGTGGGGAAAAATGATCTTCTCGGCCCACTCCTCGATGCATTGGCACACTTCACCATGCCGCCATCCTTTTCGGCTCGCAGCCTCCACGGCGACCTCGCTGCGGCGCCAGACCTCGCCCCCGACCGCCTTGCCCACGTCGGCGTGGCCCGCCTCGCTGGTGAAGCCGCCGAGCCCCGCAACCCGCGAGCGCGTTGCCCTGCCGACCGCAAGCATAGGGCCCCGCGGACGCGCTCCCTGTCCTCTTTGACCGCCTGCAGCTGCTTCGGCATGCCTCGTTTCAGCTGCCGCGGAGCAGTGCGGCCATCTGCACGTCGAGCTCCCCCGCGTGCCGACAGCCGTCCGCCGAGCAGCTCTCGTACTTCACCTGCAGCCTCTGGACCTCTGCTTTGATACTTGCTGCCGCCACCTCATCCGCCTTCGGGCTTGCACGAGCCTTGGGGAGCACCGCCGCCCGCTTCACTCGCGCGGTCGCATTGGCGGCCTTCGCCTCCCTGAATTGCTCCTTGGTGTCGACCACCCCGTCCGCTTCCTCCGCAGCATAGTCCTCCTTCACCGCCGCGTCGCGGGCAGCCTCCTCGGATGGCGGCCGCCACCTCGGCGGCTCACCGACACAGCCACCCCCTCGCGCACCGTTGCACCAGCTCCGCCGCCGCGCACCGCCGCACTTGGGTCCGCCTGCCAGCGTCCGCCGCCGCCCATGCCTCCGCCGAACGGGTGGCAAGCGCACGGGCGACATCCCAGTGCTCGTGCCTCCGACGGCGCCCCACCTTGCCCTGCACAGCCTGCCACCCCTCGGTCGCCACATCCCGCCTGGGGCCGCTGGGTGCGGCGCCCTGCCTCCCCTCTTTGGCCCTCCGCGGACTCGTAGACCTCCTTGAAAGTGTCCTCAGACTCCTGTTTCTCGTCGCCCTCGCCGTCGCCGACCCCCTGCTGGTCTTCCGACTGATTGCATGCTGCGCCCTCGCCCTCCGCGTGCCCGCCACGGATCATGACGAGGATTCGCTGGCCCATCTCGCAACCGAAGGCGCCATGGTCGGTCCGCTCAGCAACGGCTGGCTGGCTCTCCCAACGATGGATTACAATCCCCACGATCGGGGCCTCCAGCGGCGCTGTATCCGCCGCCTTCGGCCAGCACGCACAGCCGAAGCCTAGGCACCATGCCCCGCCTCCTGGGCGCATAGGTTGCCCTCCTGCTCCGCACCGTTGCTAGCTCCTCTTCACGGTGTGCACCGCGACCGCCTCGCCCTCCCGCAGCCGTCTACCATCGCGCCGCCCGCGCCCGCGGCGCTCGTCCCTGCCCGAGCGGCCCAAGCGGGCCTCTCGGGCAGAACCTTGAGCCAAAATGGCTACGGACGACGACGAAGACGACGACGACGACGACATTGACGTAGACGTGGACGACGACGACGACGACGACGACGACGACGACGCCGCCGCCGCCGCCGCCGCCGCCGACGACGACGACGACGACGACGACGACGACGACAAGGACGACGACGACGACGACGACAAGGACGACGACAAGGACGACGACGACGACGACGACGACGACGACGACGACGACGACGACGACGACGACGACGACGACGTAGACGTAGACGTGGACGAGGAAGACGGCGACGTCGACCTCTACCGCTGCCGCGGCGCCCGCACGGGGCGGGGTGGGGGAAGGCGCCGGTCCTTCTCCAGGTGCCACTTTGGGTCCTCCAGGAGCTCGTCGAATGCCTCTGCGTGGGGGGGGGGGGGGGGGGCGACCCCACCAGTCGTCGTCGTCGTCGCCGCCGCCGCCGCCGCTGGCGCCGTCGTCGTCGTCGTCGAGGGGGAAGGCATGGGGAAGGACGGGACGGGAAGGGAGAGGAAGAGCGAGGAGGAAGCAAGGAGGAGGGATGAACTAAGATGGAGGAGCAAGGATGGACGAGGACTGCAGCCAGGAGAGGGGATGAGGAGGAGGAGGCTTCGAGGAAGCAGAGGGGAGGTGCGAAAGGGGGGCAGAAATATTCCTCCGCGTAAGTTTCCTCATAATCCTTCCCATAACTGCAGTAATCGTCATCAGCGTCATCATCATAATATTCGATCATAATCACCACTGCCGACATCATCAAAGCATCATGTGATCCTCACTGGTCATCATGCGCATCACCATCATTATAACAATGATAACCATAAAGTGAAGTAATGATCATAACACTACGGATAAACAATAACAATAATATGAATAATGGTGGCACTAATGAGAATAAAAATAAGAGTAACAGTCATAATAACAATTGAAATAAGAAACATCGACATCAGCATCATCATCATGAGCATCATCCTCATCATCATCATCAGCATCATCGTCATCATCATCACCATCGTCATCAGCATCATCATCATCAGCACCATCACCATCATCATCAGCATCATCAGCAGCAGCATAAGCATAAGCACCAGCATCACAATCATCATCAGCATCAGCATCGCCACCACCACCACCAGCATCATCACCAGCAGTATCGTCACCACCATCACAATAAACAGCAGTATCAGTATCATCATCAGCATCAGCATCATCATCAGTATCGTCAGCATCATCATCGCGCTCATCATAATCATCGTCATCATCATCATCATCATCATCATCAGACTCAGCATCATCATCATCGTCATAATCATGTTCGTCATCATCACCACCACAACCATCGTCATCCCCACCACAACCATCATCACCCAACATCATAATCAGAATCATCAGCATCACCATCGCCATCGTCATGATCAGCATCGCCGTCATCATCATCAGCTTCATCATCATCGTCATCACCATCATCGTCATCGAAACTATAATGAGCATCGCCATTATCATCACTATCGTCATCACCAGCACCAGCATCATAATCATCATCAGCAGCAGCAGCGGTAGCAGCAGCAGCAGCTGCTGGGCGTCGGGCTTGTCGCGGGACTGGCCGTCGGGCCATTCAGGCAAGTTTCGCATCACAGCCTACACCTCAGGAGCAGCGGCGCGCTGCCCCCCTCTGTGAGGCAGCGCCGGCACGCGGGCTCAAGGTATTCATCTGTGACGGCGTTGTTGACCTCGGATACGCATTCGTCGCTGTTGTAGTTCCCGCTTGTGATGCTGGCGTGGACCCCCAAGATCGGCACGGAAAACATGGGTACGATGCCCAACGCCAAATGTTGTCCAACACCGACAGCGGCCGCTGTTGGGCAGCCGGCCGTCCGTCTCAAATGGACGACCTCCGCATGGACACCCCCAACGAACCCTGCTCAAAATGAATAGGAACAGCTGCCGGCCTTCGTACCAATTTTTTCCGTACTCCACATTTCGAAATAAAAGAGAGGGGGTCTCATTTCGGGGGGGGGTCTCTTCCAGGCTATCTTGGAGGGCCTGGGGGGGTCTGGGGACGATGTTTTGAAGGGTTCTCCCAGGGGGGGGGGGGCTAAAACTTCTCGTCTGGGAGGGTTGAGACCCCCTCCCTTTTATTACGAAATCTGGAGTACCCATTTCGGTCGTACCGAGCTGGGGGTCGACGCACGGGCCAGG